ATATTATGATGTTGCCCAAGTTTGGGGCTCGATCCGAAATCAATAGCTGTGAGAAATTGGACAATTCAAGTTCAACGGCAGTTCATTCCTAATTGGAGTGGTTGGTGTATTCCACACTTCGAGCGATTGGATTTCACTCAAAACTAACCAAATGACTCCTCCCCCGATATTATGATGTTGCCCAAGTTTGGGGCTCGATCCGAAATCAATAGCTGTGAGAAATTGGACAATTCAAGTTCAACGGCAGTTCGTTCCTAATTGGACTGGTTGGTGTATTCCATACTTCCAGCAATTGGATTTCACTCAAAACTCACCAAATGACTCCTCCCACCATATTATGATGTTGGCCAAGTATGGGGCTCGATCCGAAATCCGTAGGTGATCCAAATTGGACAATTCAAGTTCAACAGCAGTTCGTACCAAATGGGAGTGGTTCGTGTTTTCCATACTTCTAGCGATTGGATTTCACAAAAAACTCACCAAATGACTCCTCCCACCATATGATGATGTTGCCCACGTTTTGCGCTCGATCCGAAATCAATAGGTGTGAGATATTGGACAATTCAAGTTCAACGGCAGTTCGTTCGTAATGGGAGTGGTTGGTGTATTCCATACTTCTAGCGATTGGATTTCACTCAAAACCCCCCAAATGACCCCTCCCACCATATTATGATGTTGCCCAAGTTTGGGGCTCAATCCGAAAATAATAGGTGTGAGAAATTGGACAATTCAAGTTCACCGGCAGTTCGTTCGTAATGGGAGGGGTTGGTGTATTCCATACTTCTAGCGATTGGATTTCACTCAAAACCCCCCAAATGACCCCTCCCACCATATTATGATGTTGCCCAAGTTTGGGGCTCAATCCGAAAATAATAGGTGTGAGAAATTGGACAATTCAAGTTCAACGGCAGTTCGTTCCTAATTGGAGTGGTTGGTGTATTCCACACCTCTAGCGATTGGATTTCAATCAAAACTCACTAAATGACTCCTCCCACCACATTATGATGTTGCCCAAGTTT